CCATAATGGCGATGTCCTGAGGGCTCCTTACAGTTGGGCATCCTAAATCTCTATTTCCTTACTACTAGGTATCAAGTCCAGGGCGCCTGGCATACTAGGCATTAGTCTACCACTGAATGACAAGTGACACGGTCCCCTAAACCATCTTTTTCTTTTTGCCCAGCTTGAAACAGAGAATGAGCACCTGAAGGCCCATAACCAGCAGCTCGTGGAGCAGGTGGAAGCCCTTCGGGATGCTCTTGAGGGTAGGTAGATCCAGTGTCTGTAGGCATGGCACGTTGTGGGAAGAATGGAAGACATCCTCAACAGGTGTGTCTGGTTTCGCCTCATCCACAGATCTTCGGATGACACCTTCAGAGAAGCTGCTAGTGGTCCCTGAGGGAACCCCAGAGGGGAATCCTGTCCCTTCAGAGCCCAGAGCCCAACCTGTGGAGCAGGACAGTAATCCCCATACTCAAACTTTGAAGGTGGTTGTGCCTGCACCTTCTCTGAGTGCCCTGCAGAACAAGGACTCGGCGTCAGAAGCCAAAAGTCTTGAGGATTCGAACTTCAGCACGGTCTACCCTGGGGAGATAGCAGAGGCCAAGACCCTTAAATCTCATCTCCAAAGAGAGGGCTCACCCAGCCAGTTGTTCGTGAAGCCTGGCAACCCCAAACATGGGTCAGTTTCTTACAGGGATGACCTGCTTATTACTCAGGGAGGGACATTCCCTGGGACTAAGATCTCTACCAGGGAAGGTGGCCCTGGTAGTAGCTTGACCCTGCCAAAGGTGCGGGCTCCCAGCAATTCCCGGGACAGCTTCCAAGTGACCAAAAGGCACCACAGTCAACCCCAGGTGGGTCCTGGGCATTGTAACCACATGGTAAGCATTAAGATTGGGGCTCTGTCAGCCCTCCCCTCATCTGGCTTCTCCAAGTCTGAAGCCAGAGCTAAAGCCCGGGAAGAAGCAGAGAAGATGGAGATGGAGGAGCCACTTCCAGCTGGAAAACAGGAAGGAAGAGAGAGCCCAAAGTCCCCCGGAGCTGAACTGGAGGAAGGGGAACTGGAGAACAAGCCACCTACACCCCCCCTGCACCGGTTTCCATCTTGGGTAAGTGACTTTATCGGGGTCGGGCAGGGGACAGAGCCAGCTACAGGCGTGGTCTTCACTGAGGATATTTAGGGCCCATGAGGTCAGACTCCTCCTCACGGCCATGTGGGGGGCTGATAGACAGGCCTGCCTGACCCACGCACCTAGGCAGGGCAGAGCCAGAATCTGAAATGACATGTGTCATGTGCCAAGTTGGGTGCTTTGTAATGTCTTCAGTTCACTTTGGTTCTGAGGCACCATGCGTGGAAGTGGAGAGCTCTGCCCTAGATCAGGCCACTGGTGTTCAATTTCTCCCTGTGGACCTGGGCACGTAACTAAGCCTGTGGCCCAACATGAGGGTGGTGGTGATGACTGGTAGGTTCTCTCTTTATTCCCACTTAAGTTGGGGTGGGGGCATTCGTGTGCCATGATGCCCATCTGAAGGTCAGAGGACAACTTGTAGGAATCGGTTTTCTTCTTCCACCATGCAAATTCTGGAAGTCAAACTCAAGTTGCCGGACTTGATGGCAAGGCCTTTACCCACTGAGGCATCTTGCTGATCCTACTAATGGGGCTCCTAAGAGGATTAAATGTATATTGAGGGGATGGAGGGATGGCTCAGCTCTTCCAGAGGACCCGGGTTTGAGTCCCAGCACCCACGTGGTCCCAGTTGACTACTGTCTCTGCAGTTTCAGGAGATCAAATGACCTCTTTCGGCCTCCTTAAAAATGTACCAAATGCACAAGTGGCGCACAGACATACATGCAGACAAACCTCCCTACATACCAAATAATTAGTTAAAATATGTAGTGAACAGTGCGTGTAAATGGTCAGTGGTCACCTTATGGGTGACGTTCTATACAGTGACATGATGTCTAGAATGGAGGTGGGGATCCAGATAAATAAGACTGAACGTGCGTTAGTACAGAGTGAAGACGGGAGATGGGGACGAGGTCATCTTTCTACCGTTCTACTTCTTTGTCTGACATCTGCGATAAAGGTTGAAATAAACACAGACGGGCGGAGTGTTGCTGGTTCACAGGCGGGTGGTGAGGATGGCATGGTGCCTGGCACAGAGCCTGACATTCGGGAATAGCCTCAGCTGTCTGAGGGGCTGGGAGTTATCTCTCCCTTTGATAGATCGGCACTGCTCTCTAGAGTTCAGCCACTTCCCCACGTCATGTGGGTAGTGACGGAACTAGGCTTCCAGGAGAGGCCTGGCCGCCTGAGGCTCAGCTCCCGCACTCTAGCTGCCTTGCCCCTGGGGACACGGGCACACATGTCAGTCTTTTAGTCAAACCCAGTGCTACAGATGGGCAGTGACATCTATCTACTCCTGGCCGTTGAGAAAATGGGGTACTCTCAGTGGGGTGGAGGCCCCTAATTTCAGCAGCACGCTCCCAGGTCTCCTTTTGAAGTGCTAGTTCAAGGAGGCTCTGCACGCAGACTTTTAACTGTACCCTTAACAGCGACTGCAAGCCAGCTTGTGTGTTACTACAGAGGCACAGTAGAGTGTGGAACAAGATTGGCTCCATGTGGTCCATCAGCTGTATTCCAGGATGACCGTGTTAAGACTCAGAGTCAGGTCTGACCTCCCTGTTTCTGCTGGTATCCGGGAACCAGCAGTACTGATCAGCAGTACCGTTTGAGGAGACTCCGCCTCCTATTTTCAGTCCCCTTTGTAACTCGCTCCTGATGGAAAGACAGACCGCCAGTTTACCCACGCTCCCTACCGCAGCTCGGGTGTCTCCCTCAGACAGAGCCTGGAATCCAGAGAAGGGCGTTCTCAGTGCAAGTACTTGGCGGGTCGGTGCCACCCGCCTTCCGTGTTTCAGCCGCTCTTTTTCTCTAAGCCTTGCAACAGCTTCCTGAGGGGACACTTGGTGTCTTTTGTTTGACCTTATTCCCTCAACCTTGAGTTTTGTTTCCTTTACCAGGTGGGAGCCTGTCCTTGGTGTAAGTTCATGATCAATATGGGCAGAGATATCTATGCCCAATTACTCCCCGCATTTGCTATATCTGCCCTGCCTGAGCATGGGCATCCTGCTCTGGCCCTGCCCTGCCTGAGGGTCTCCCTGTTGTCCTCCACTTGTCTTGAAAGAGCTAGCTCCAGTTACCTCAGCATATCTTTCCCCATCACCCCTAGCTGCGCTGTTCTAGGGCCGGGGCCCAGTCCCTTGGTCCAGCATGGCTGACTTTCCTGGTCAGCCCCTGTGACTCACCTGTTGCCTGCGAGGCCTTTGTACTCACTGGAGGGCTAGTGAGCGAACAGCTCTGGAGCAGCCTGGGAAAGGCCATCCTGGCCACTGGGAACAAAACACCCTTCCCCTTGAGTCCACTTCAGACCCATGGGCTTTCATAGTAGTGCCAGAATTTTCTGCAGAAGAATGTTCTGTTCTACAGAACATTTAAAAGGGGTCTGGAGCCCTGTTGGGCCACAGTAGCTTTGTGGTCGGCCTTGGAAGCCTAAGGCATGCACCCTGCTACTGTCGGAAGCTATATATCCTAGCCTTCAGACAGCTGAATACAAACATCTATATCCTTGTGGCTCTCCCTCCCTCGCTGTCAACACTCAACCTCTGGGGTGAGACCCAGGGACCCAGGGGTCGCTAAAATAGGCAGGAATCCAAGAAATGGAGAGACAGTTTACTGACCAGCTCTCTTCAAACCTCCTTTGCCTCAAGGGGAAGGGTAGAGGCCAGAGGGAGTAATATCTGCTGGGTGTGGATTATGTCCCAGGCATGAAGTGCTTATATCATACATTAATTAGCCACTTTTTTTGATTCCATTGGGCAGACTCTTCAAAAGCCAGTAATATTCAGAGCTGGGGAAAACGGGGCTAAGAAATGAAGAAACTTGCTTAAAATTCCTCAGCCAGTGACTAGCTTGTCCTGGGTGGCGAACCCAGGTCTGCTTACCCCAAGTCATGGTTTCCTTCCACTGTGGGAGGGGCTGGGGTGAGCAGTCCTTGACCGTCTGGGACGTTTTATTACAGGAGAGCCGGATCTATGCGATGGCCACATCAGGCATGCAGCTGTCATCAGACGCATCGTCCCGCAGTGACGCTGCCTGCTGTGGTGAGTACAGGGGACCCGAGGGCCTAAAAATGTCCTTGGTGGGTCTGGCTCCCATTCCCCGGGGTACAGCAGGCAGTGAGGGCTATTTGGAACTAGAAAGGGGGGTGTACAGTTCAGTTTATCACCTAGCAAGGGAGGGGCCTCAAGTCCTGCCTTCCATCTTGTAGCACTGGCCTCCTACAGGACTGAAATGGGTGGGGAGAGCCCTGAGCCCCTGGCTCCAGAGTCGCTGACCATCACACACAGGCACACATTTATAACTCACTCCAGCAAGAGCGGGACATGGTGCAAGCTTCCTGGAGAGCAGATGGTTAAAGGGTAGCACTTGGGTTCTGTTGTGATGGGCCTTTAGCCATAGGGATCATGGTCCCCAGGAGTCAAGGGAACAGAAATCGGGAAGAGGAGATGGGAAGGCTTTGGCCCCGTCCTCTGCTTCCCCAAGCCTCTGGCTGATGCTGCCTCCTGAGTTCATCTCCTCCCTCTTTTCCCACCCCAGCTTCAGGCCCTCCTGCCCTTGCGTTCCCTGGAGCTTTCTCTGGCCTCATCTACAAGAATGTCACTGTGCCTGTCTACACAGCGCTGAAGGGGGTAAGAAACTGCCATGACAAGAGGGGCTGTCCCCATCAGGAGAAGTCCCTCATCCCAGGGCAGTGCTGCATTGGGGCTGGAGTGTCAGGTGTCTTCACACAGTGACCATGGTCAGGCAGCTCAGCCCACCATGAGTGTGTGTGTGTGTGTGTGTGTGTGTGTGTGTGTGTGTGTAAGAAAACAAGCTTATTAGTCCACTGCGAGTAACAAGCTCGGCAGTAACAAGAACACTGCTCACCCATCATTTTGTTGTGATTTATAATTTGTTCTGAGAGGTTACATGCTAATGTAACTTCAGCGTGATATTTTCATCTTTTTGCTACTGGTTTTTGTTTGGTTTGCAGTGCTTGAGTTAGAACCCAGGGCCCCCTCTTGCTAGGCAGCTGCTATACACTGAGCCACACTCCCAGCTCTCCCAGCTCTCGTTATTCCTTGTTAAATCATGTTAGTAATGCTTGATGCTTTTCTTAGAAAAATAAAAACACAAAAGCAAAAGTAAAAATTTCTCTCACGTTGCTTTCTCCCAGTTCCCAATCCCAAAGTCAGGCATCATTAGCACGCTGGTGTTCATTCTGTAGGCCGTCTGACGCGACTGCAGGTTTACAGATGTGCACATGTGCCTGTGCATACGCTCTCCTTTCTTCCATCCCTCTGTCACTCTCGTCCTTTCACACATGCAAGCACACCCATGCACAAAGGGATCCTATGCTGGGTTACTCACCTAACCATGTGAGCCTGCCCTTCCATGCCTTCTGTGTGTTATCCCTGGGGTAGACAGCACTATAATTAGCTGGGGTCCCCTCTGCTGACTGGAAGTAGGCTATATCCATCTCTTTCTGAAGTAAATGTGGCAATAAGCAGCACTGTGCATACGTACCCTGTGTGCACATACCCTGTGCACACATATCCTGTGCGCACGTATCCTGTGCGCACGTACCCTGTGCACACACTGTATGTTTCTGGAGGACACAGGTCTAGAGATAGAATTCCTGGGCAGGTTCTATGAATGGTTAGATTCTGATAGGTTCTGCCAGATTACTGTCTGAAAGCGCTTTGTGGGCTGTGGGCTGGAGATGTAGCTGTGTGATCGTGCACTTGCTTAGAAAGAGTGAGGCTCTGTGGTCTATCTTTAGAACTACAAAAAAACAAAACAAAACAAAAAGATCTCACAAAATGTTACTTCATTCAAATGCTTTGTCCCAATAGTTTTTTGTTTGTTGTTGTGTATCCCTAGCTGGCCTGGAAGCCATCCTATATACCAGGCTGGCCTCAAACAGAGCTCCGCGTCCCTCTGCCTCCTGGGTGCTGCAATTAAAGGTGTGCACCATCATGCTCAGCACTAGAGCCGTCTTTGAGCTATGCCCCCGCCACACTTGTACAACACTGAAAGTATTAGTCTTGCGTTTGGAAGGTCACCTTCCCTATCTCAGCGTCCTGTCCCACACTTGACCTGTGGCATGGCTTTCTGGCCCCCTACTGGAAGAAACAGGAGCTCTCTGGGGAACCACAGAAGTTGGGGTAGAGGAGTTGGGCCCACAAAGCAGCACGGAGGTTAGACTGCAGGAGCGAGGTCAGAAAGGGGCTCTACACTGCTTGGGACTTCCATCTAGGCAGCAGTGCCTCAGCTGGGTGACGGTCTCATGTTTCCCCAGACAGGCTGCGTGGGCACATGGAGCTGGGTACAGCTGTTGTGTGGCGGGGGCTTGTTTTGGAGCCTGAGCTGTAGCTGGGGAGGTGCCTGTCTTGCAGAAAGCCACACAGATCAGCAGTGTGCCTTTTGTGGATGAGTCCTCTGGGTCTGATGACGACTGCGGCTCTCAGGCGAGTTTCCGGATGTCATTCCCCTGCTCTGAGTACAGGAAGACCAGCGGACTGGGCAGCCCCCGGGCCATCAAGAGAGGTACACAGAGGAGAGGGGACTCTCAGTCTCTTCCTGCTCAGTCTCTGCCAGGGTTCTCCCAGTTTTACCCTCAGCTCCAGACTCAGGAGATCCCAGTGGGTAATGGGAGCCACACATCTTCTCGTCCTATGGGACCCCAGCCTTGATTCCTTCCTCTGTGGCCAGGAGTCTCCATGTCCTCATTGAGTTCTGAGGGTGACTATGCCATCCCTCCTGATGCCTGCTCACTGGATAGTGACTACTCAGAGCCTGAACACAAACTCCAGCGAACGTCATCGTACTCCACTGATGGGGTGAGCAGAGTACATAGCCCTGTGTGGGGAAGGGGAAGGAGCATTGGGTAGGAGCAGACTTGAGCGGAGGCTGCTTGGGCCTCTGTACCTACACAGCAAGCCGCCAGAGAGAAGGACCCAGAGATGGTAAAAGGAAGGAGGCCCTACAAGTGTCCCAGAGACAGCTGTGCATAGACCCCATGATGAAGAAAGATGAGTCCAAGTGCAGGGAGCTCCTTAGACCCCATGAGGATTGCACCTGTCCCCTGTTTAATCTTCACCCTGACCCTCAGATGCTGCCGTGAGTTGACGGTTGAGCTTTAGCAGGCCAGGTGCTACCTCAGTGCCTGGCTTCTGCCTCATGTCTCCTTTGCCTCATGGTCCTAATGGGTATTGCTGTGTTTTATCAATGGAAGCCTGTGGCACAGAGACCTGTCTGCTTTCTCCAACCTGGGATGCCTTGAATGGCCTTCCTCCTCTCAGCCGGTCCTGGTAAAAGAATCTGGCCTTTCCGGTAGAGCCGCGGGGTCTCACATCAGATATCCTGCATGGCAGATATTTATATTATGGTTCCTGACAGCAGTAAAATTACAGTTATGAAGTAGCAACAAAATAATTTTATGGTTGGGGTCAGCACAACATGAGGAACTGTATTAAAGGGTCACAGCATTAGGAAGGTTGAGAACCACTGGTCTATAGGCTAGTTTAGATGCTGCTCTTTCCTGAAGCCTTCCCTGGCCAGCTTCTCTCCTACTTGCAGCCCTGATCTACCACCTTCTTGCGGTGGGCCAGGTGTTCCTTCCCCAGTTATCATTGGGGATACCTCCGTGGTAGGACTGCCACACCTTATTCAATTCTCTCTGGATCTCATCAGTGTACAGAGCCTAGAAATAAACACTCATAGGTGGTCAATAATTTTTCTTAACAAAAAATGGCACAGTGGTGGTCTAGACCATTTTATCCTAAGTGGCGTCCAGGTGCCTCATGTGACCTTCCCTTTGTCCCATTTTCCCTCCTTGCCTTCCATCCCACAGGGTCCTCATGTGACTCTCCCTCTTTGTCCCCTCTTTCCTTCTTGTTTTCTACCTCAGGAGGCACTGGAGAAGTCAGGCTACCTGCTGAAAATGGGGAGCCGGGTGAAGACATGGAAGAGGCGCTGGTTTGTCCTGAGACAGGGACAAATCCTGTACTACAAGTCTCCGGTGAGGCCCTCCCCAGGACGTAATCGCAGGGACCGCAGCCCAGACCCACACTGTATAAGGGGCTGGAGGAAGGACAGTGTGGCTGAGGCTTGCCAGATGGAAGACTTAGCAGCATGCCTGGCCTCAGAGGTGCTGAGCCACACAGAGGACTCTGAGCTGGTCACCCATTCTCAAAACAAGCTGGGGAAGCTATCACGGCAATCCTAGGCCAGTTGGCTGGCAATTTCCTCTTCCTTCAGAACTGATCTCTTTTTATGCCTGGCCTTGTAAAAGGATACTCCCAGACTGTCTTTACCCTTTCTGGATTGTTGTAACCGAAAAATTCGTTGCTTCCTCTTCTTTCCTCTACTGTCTGGAATTGAGGGGCCTCGAATGTTGAGAACTATGTTGGCAGAATCAGTCATAATGTTATAAAGAGGACAAAATGGATTGGTCTCTTGTGCAGCTGTTTGCTTGGTAGGAGCTTTCTCCAGCTCCGTGTTAAAGATTCTGGACCTAAATTTCTCTTTGAAAAGCATGCTACTATCAATTATAATGTCTGTAGAAATGCTGGAAAGGCTAATAGTGGCTTATATGCCCCTTAATTTGCCATATCTGTGGGTATAAGGATCAAATAGAAAGGTTTGGTTTTGTTTTCTTTTTGAGATGGGTCTTGCTCTGCTGCCTAGACCAGCCTCATCCTCCTGCCATGTCCTGCTGAGTAACTGGGACTATAGGCACTCGTCACCACACATAGCTCAGTTAAAGCAGGATGGTGGCTTTATAGGTCAGTAATAACCTAGTAGCTTCTCATCCGATTTTGGAGACTCTCTCTCCTTTTTAGATCTTTTGAGGCCTGCATTAGAGGGACTCATGTTCCTAATTACGACTTTGTTTTTCTAGAAGAATCTAGAACAAGTCACTCATTGTACCATAGCCAGCAAAGCTTGGGAATCACTTTCCACTTTGTGCCTAGAACTTGGAGTAAAAAAAAAAAAAAAGATGATCTGAGAAGCCTCCAGACTCCAATGCTCTCCATCCTACTCCTCCTTTGCAGAATGATGTCATCCGGAAACCTCAAGGTCAAGTGGATCTGAACTCCCATTGCCAAATTGTTCGAGGGGAAGGAGCACAGACATTTCAGGTGAGCCTGCTTGTAGCAGCTGGATTTTAGATACAGTATGGTGTGGATATGATTGTGATTGGAGCAAAGACGAGGCAAAACTAAGCATGAATGAAGGATTTCATACCAGGAGTAGGATACGATTGTAGGTTGTGAGCATGAAAAGAAGGGACAGCAGGTTGAAGGATGTGTCTTTCACTGACTCTAATCCCCCCCCCCCCCCCCCCCCGCTCCACTCCATCCCCACAGCTCATCTCCGAGAACAAAACCTACTACCTAACAGCAGAGTCCCCCAGCCTCCTGGAAGAATGGATCCGTGTCCTACAGAGCCTGCTGAAGGTGCAGGTCACTGGGCCTCCAGCTCTGCGTCCAGGGGGCACCAAGCCTACTGTGAAGGGCTGGCTGACCAAGGTACAAAGTGGATCAGCTAGGGAAGTAATGGAAGCCAGCATGGGAGTGCCCAGAGATGGTCTTTCTCTAAGAACTGCTTAGCCAGTGGACCCTCAAGCATGGTCTGAACATACAAAATGATGGCAGTGACTCTGGAAACAGAGATGAGGGCTTTTAGAACAACTGTTCTCAAGACAAGGGAAAGACATGTTTTTACTTAATGTTTAGGATATTAGGCACTGCCTCCCACAGTATAACTAGCTGTGTCAGGACTAATGGTACAAAGAAAAGACCTAGGTAAAGCCAGTGTGACCGCCATTCAAAGACTAGTATCCCAAGTTTGCCTAAAGACATTTTAAGTAGGGTTTTCCTGGAAGCAGAGACCCCAGTTAAGCCCAGCAAAGGGAAGTTAACTAGGAAGCACTCTCACAGGGTTAGTTACTGTGGGTTACTGTGCCCAGCAAGCTCGGTGCTCAGACTCTTTCCTTCTGAGCCTCTGCCTCCCATCAGCCTGCCCTTCTTCTCTGTGAGTGTTCAGTTGCAATTCCATTGTGAGCACCTTACTTAGGCTCCAGACTACCTGGGTCTTTATTTACCTTGCAGCATCCTTATAGCTCTGGCCTGTGCCAACTAGTAGGGTCTTCCCATACCCATATTCTGATTTTCTGGGTAATCTTTCAGTGACAGGCCATAGGTCCCTGAATGGCTCAGAAGTGGCAGGGTACATATGTGGCAGTCTCACTGTGAGCGGAACCCAGACTTTGCTACTCTTCTCTGTGGCCTGTCTTGGCTAGCCCTGGATTGTGGAATCCTGGTTCTAATGAAGTCATTTTCCTTAACAGGTAAAGCATGGCCACTCTAAGCTGGTCTGGTGTGCCCTTGTTGGGAAAACCTTCTACTACTACCGGAGCCACGAGGACAAGGTATTTTATCAGCCTCCTAACGACGCCTCCTCCAAACTGTGCACAGTGCATGCCACTGACCGCAGCCTCCAGCTCTACCTTCTACCACACCAAACCCTACAACAAATACATAGGCCAGCTGCCCTGCTCCCTCCAGGGCATGTGACCAGCATCATAACCAGTGTAGTCGGCTGGCACTTTCCACAGCACAGTCTTCTGCTTCTGGCCTGGCTGCAATGCTGTAGCTTCCACTGCCTCATCTTGCCCTCTGTCCACATCTATGCTATCCAGCCCCGCCAGCCTAAGCGTTTGGAAGAAGGAGACTCCCCTGTCCATCTGTTATCCTATTCATGGAAGGCTCATGTCCGCAGAGACCCCTGGGCTGCCTACCTGTGCAGGATGCTCACATAGAGGAAGTAGATCGATCCTGTGACTCAGATGAAGACTATGAGGCTGGAGGAACCAGACGGCTGCTTTCCTCCCACTACACCTTGGTGATCCACCCCGCAGAGCACAGCCCCACCTACCTCCTCATCGGCACCAAGCATGAAAAGGTAAGGGGGGAGCTGGGCCTTTGTGGCCTAGCTTGGGCCTGGGTTCTGATTTCCCCTCTCTCTGTTCTCTTGAGATTTACAAATTCAAGTTTATTTCTTCTTGGACGCTGGATGGGAATATTACCCTTGACTGTCTATTGAGTCCATTCCAAGTGACCAGCATCCCTTCATCACGGGCCGTGATACAGTGTCACAGACTTGGAGATGTGGGCTTACATTTGATCCACCTGATCCTGTCTTTATTCTTTTTTTTTTTTATTTATTAGGTATACAATATTCTGTCTGTGTGTATGCTGCAGGCCAGAAGAGGGCACCAGACCCCGTTACAGATGGTTGTGAGCCACCATGTGGTTGCTGGGAATTGAACTCAGGACCTTTGGAAGAGCAGGCAATGCTCTTAACCTCTGAGCCATCTCTCCAGCCCCCTGTCTTTATTCTTGACTCACGCTAGCCAAGCTAGTAATAGTCCACCTCTGTTTCCCCTAGACAAGGACTCATAAGCCCAGGCCAACCTTGAGCTCGAGATCCCTCTGTCTCAGCCTCCCAGCTCCTGCTCTGACGTCAGTACAGGTGTACACTTCCATTCCCATCTTAAATTACATGCTGTTTTTCTGCAGGGGAGTGGTGGGAGTGAGCCCCAGAACTCACACATGGACCAGTGCTCCGTCACTGAGCTACATCTCCTCCCGCAAGTCCGGCTCTTGCCTCCACCCTTCCTGCCTCCTTAGCATCTGCTTATTTTTTGCCCTTTTCCAGGATACATGGCTTTACCACCTCACAGTGGCTGCAGGTGGCAGCAGTGCCAAGGTGGGCACTGTCTATGAGCAGCTCATTGGGAAACTGATGGATGGTGAGGGAGACCCAGGTAAGGCAAGCATGGCCATTACTGCCTGGGCTGAAGGGAAGGGGCAGGGTGCACACAGGACAAGAAGTAGAGAACACTACTATACCTAAGCTATATTAACCATGCCAGGGGACTCCCATCCCATGCTCCAGAGCCTCTCTGTCTGTGGCCAAAACAGAGGGAACCACTGTATGTGAGGGAATCTGGGAAGCAGACTTTCCAGACACCTGGGTAAATGTTCTACTCTGTTTAATCTGTAGCTTTGCTAGCTATGCAGAAGACTCGGGGGCAGGGGTGGAGGCAGGGGAGGCAGCAGCTGGTTAATCTATAATTAAGAGTTTGTTAATATATGAAGCCTCAATTTGGATCCAACTAATCTAATCCTGGGATGTCTGAGAGTCCTTATTTGGCAGCTAATTCTCAGGGCCCTCATGAACTCTCCAGAGATGCACAGCACACATACCTCTTTATTACCGCTCTGAGGGATGGTCTGTCCCGAAGCTGCAAGGAAGGTCATCCCTGCATGCAGACACTTGTGCTCGGGGCTCTCACAGCCTTATCCGCTTGGCCCCGCTGTGCCTCCTCAGCAAAGCTTTGGCTGCCTTCCTCAACAGCCGTGTGAGGGAATGTGCAGTTTGCAGTACACACCTACATGCCTTCAGTCTGTAGATGATCAACCCAGAAAAACCCAGGGTTCCCAGAGTAAAGCCATTGTCTTCCCTGCAAATCGAAGCTGGGGCTGGTAGGGAAGGCGGCGAGTTCTCTCTGGAGTGACTGCCACTGCTCTCTGATCTGTGCTCTGTGCAGACTCCCCGCTCTGGAGGCACCCCATGCTGTGTTACAGCCGAGATGGGCTATGTACCTCCCTTACCACCCTGCCCTCCGAGGCCCTGCAGACGGAGGCTCTCAAGCTCTTCAAGGTAACATGGGAGTGGAGTCCAGGCCTATTGGCTACTGGTGCCCACATGTGCTGAGGCTCTGCCTGGCACAGCTTGAGCCCATCCCAGCACAGGAGACCTATGTGATTATGGGGTGGCCCAAGGGCTGTGGAGAGGAAAAGTCCCACAGGGACCTCTTTATGGCAGAAATGTAACCCTTCTGCAGGCCAGGAGGAAGCTCTGGGGCTCTGGGAAATGCCAGCCAAAGCTCTTCCTTGAGGAGCTGCCACCTCCTTCAAGTATCCACAGAAAAGGCCTGGTTTGCTGGAATCAGAGATTCCGACCTAGTTTAGTTTTCTTTGTGCCCATCTGCATTTTTTTGGCAACAAAACAAACAAAAAACCAAACCAAAACAATCTAGCTAGGGGCTAGTGAGGTGCTAAATGTCCATAGCCACAGCAGCACACAGGAGGCAGAGGCAGGACCTGGAGTTAAATGCCAGGCTGTGCTACCCTATCCTTCTCAAGCTTATGTAGTGGAAACATTACATTTAAAGAAGGCGATTCTGCCCCAGAACTAGCTGGTCAGCCTCAAGAGCAGAAAGTGCTCCCTCCAGAAAGGGCTGTTGCAATGTTCGGCAGTGAGCTAGTCACCTGCCTCTGCCTCCCGAGTGCCGAGATCAAAGGTGTGCACCACCACCGTCCGGCTACCAGAATTTTCCTTGAGGCTCTGCTACACCAGTGCATGTCCCAGGAAAAACCAATGGGGTGCTCCTGCCTGTGCCCACTGTCCTCCTCCTTCCAGTCCTGCCAGCTCTTCATCAACGTGCCTGTGGAGGCTGCCTCGGTGGACTACCATGTGTCCCTGGCGCAGACAGCACTGCAGGTCTGCCTTGTTCACCCTGAGCTACAGAGTGAGATCTACTGCCAGCTCATGAAGCAGACCAGCTGCCGCCCGCCCCAGAAGTACTCTCTTATGCAGGTAGGCACACGCTGGGGACATGACTGGCTAGAACCATTTCTAAGAGCTGTTTAAGGGGAGGAGGGGTAGCAGGTGCCTGGGCAGGTGTTCTCCAATCCTCACCCATGGGCAGCGTCCGCGAAGTCGCTTGAGCATGACTGCCTGATCTGTGCATGGTCAGAATGTGACTGCTACCCTGGGCATTGCCTGACAAGGGAGTTGAGGTTCTGGTGTGGAGAAAGAATAGTGAGGGTTTTGTAGCTCAAAGCCACAAGAGCAGGATGCCTGCACTCATCCCATGCTGTGTTCCATGGCAGTGCTGGCAGCTCTTGGCTCTTTGTGCCCCACTTTTCCTGCCTCAGCATCACTTCCTCTGGTATGTCAAACAGCAGCTTCAACGCCATGCAGATCCCAGGTAAGCAAAAGTATTTCCTCTGTCCCTCCTACACTATTGCTGCCATGTTTCAAAGGGGTGGGGGGGAAGACAAGATTGAATTGACTGTGTATTCCCTCAGATTTGCTTGGGGTTGAGAGACTTCACCCATCACCATGTACACATGAGCAGGTGGAGATCTGAGGATACTTTAGCTTCTTTGGACACCAATTCATGTGTCCTTGGGTATTTTGGGAACAGTCTCATGTGAAGCCATGCTATCCCAAATTATCCCCAAATGTTTATCTGCGTTCTTCTGGATTCTACAGGAAAATATCTATGAAGGGATGGGAGTGTAGCTCAATGGTAGAGCACTTACCTGGCACATACAAGACCCTGGGTTCGATCCCTAGTACTAGTGTAAAGAAAGAAACAAGAAAAGAAGATATCCATGGCAGACATGTGCCGCAGATAAGTCCTTAGGGACAAACTGCAGTTGGTGAGATGGCTTAGTAGGTAAAGGTGACTGCCACCAAGGCTGGGTCAATTCCCAGGAGCAACACGGTAGGAGAGAGCCAACTCCCAAAAGTTGTTCTCTGGCTTCCACATTGTGCCTCCTCCTGAAATAAAAATGTAATAACATCCTGTACCAATTTCAGGCCCCCACACCCGATCCAGTTAGTTTTTATCCCAGCTAAGTCTGGGTATGCACCTCAGGGTGCCAACAGAAAGGAATTCCTACTATCCCAGTCTCTGTTTTTAGAAGTGAAACTGGCCAGTATGCCACCTACTGCCAGCGAGCAGTGGAGCGGACCCTGCAGACGGGAGAACGGGAGGCCAGGCCGTCACGGATGGAAGTAGTGTCCATCTTGCTACGGAACCCCTTCCACCACTCTTTGCCCTTCAGCATCCCTGTGCACTTTGCCAATGGGACCTATCAGGTAAGGATGCTGAGCATGCTCCCTACCAAGTCTTCCCTTATCACTGCCCACAGGATACTTCTAAGTGTGCTAAGCCTTGTAGGCTTTCAGATTAATAGGCACATCGACAAAAGGGGTGGGCCTAGATCTGAAGTGGGAGTGGTGTGATCAGTGTACATATAGAGAAAGGAGCTTGAATCCCAAAGCGTCCTGAATCCCATTTGGTGCCTTAGAGGTAGGACTTCTGAACCCACTGCGTGAACACGGAAGCTGAAACACCGGGCCAGAAAGTAGCATGAGATGAATGGCTGGGCCTGTCCAGGTCCAGTTTACAGTGAGCAGGCTCAGGTTCCTCTGCATGTGGTCTCCTGCGCTCACCCTGTGCCACCCCCGGTGACAGTCCCTCAGGAAGTCTGCTGATTCAGGGCCTCTCCCCATTTCCAGGTGGTTGGCTTTGACGGCTCCTCCACAGTTGATGAGTTCCTCCAGCGGCTGAACCAGGAGACAGGCATGAGGAAGCCATCCCAGTCTGGTTTCTCCCTCTTCACAGACGATCCTTCTGGCAGAGACCTGGAGCACTGTCTTCATGGGCGTGTCAAGGTAAGCACTCCCCCTCTTACACACACCCCTCTTAGCTCAAAGATATAGGTGGTGGGGATAGAACTCTGTGTGTCTAACTTGTCAGCGGCCTGTCTGATGTGGAGACAATCTCTTCAGGCCAGCATTTCTGTGCCATCCTAAAATGGATCTGTGCAGGCAGGGGAAGCGACATGTGACCTTGATTCTGGAGACAAGATCTTGTCTCCCTCAAGGGACTACGCAGCATTCAGGGGAAGAGCCTCTTTTCTCAGTGTAAGGACACAGAGATCCTGCCAAGCATGCCACCAATTGTTATCTGTCCACTTAGGTCAGCAGCTGTGGCGTATATCCAGTGGGTGCCATGTTGTGCACCGTCACCTAGCTATACTCTGTCTGCTTATGCTTACGGTATATGTCATAGGTTCAACCATAGTTTAGGGAGGTAGGTCCTCATGGCACCTCTGCAGGTGAAAGCCTTTGAAAGAGACAATTGATCTGTATGGTGATGTGGGGCTAGTTCCACGAGGGTATTAAGCACTTGTGGGAATGTACTGCCACACTGGATAGGTGCATTTGGCTCCAGCATTTGCTTCCTTTGCTATTCTAGAACAAAGGGCTAGTCTTTAGCAGTGATGAAAAAAAATGCCACATATCTTTCTAGTAAAGGTATGGGCTCTGGTCACAGCAGGCATTTGGGTATATTTATTGAAAGGAGAATATGGTGGGTGAAACGGAGCCACGATGCCATGGGTTTTAACTGGGCCTACCTTGTTTCCCAAGAGGCCACATAAAGCCGATGAGGCAACAATCCTTCCTTGGATGCTCACTACATCCATGGTGCCATCTACCTCTTCATCAAAAGGGAATTGGTAGGCACCTCCCATCCTGACAGTCTGGGCCTCACAGGGCAACCTTCTTAGAACCCTCACTCAGCTCTGCCAGAGTCCAGCTCTGGCTGAACCTCATTCTCCTCACAAGGGGCTTTTCTGACTTTAGACTTTTGTCTCTTCAAGATCTGTGATGCCATCTCCAGGTGGGAGCAAACACTGAAGGAGCTGCACCCAGGAAAGTCTGAGGGTGGGACACGCGTCGTGAAGCTGATGTATAAGAACAGGTCCTGGGAGCCGCCTGAGGGTGGGGTGCACATGAGGGCTGCCATTGGGCCCAGTTCATCACCTCCCAAACATAATGGCTCGCCCCAATAAGGCAGAGGGGCCTATAATTACCACTGTAAGTGGCATTCATCGGTGGGTTGCAGGCTAGCCACCCTCCTGATCCCTAATGAGACCCTAGTAGCTCAGATGTTCTGTCAGCCTTCTCTGTACTACCTTGTGGACATGTGTATGCACACATGCCACAAAAGCATACCAATGTCATGGGATGGCTATATGTCACCTTATGTGAGGGTACAGTTTTGTGTAAGCACCAGATATCTAAAGATAGGAATAAAATGTTCCTATATTTCAGGACAGACACAAGTACTTTCTACCAATTTAAACAGGAGAAACCTATCCTAGTATGTCTCCAGGCAAATAATTTCCATTAGTCTCTTGGAGTCTTAACTCTTTCAGACCCTTAACAAGCTGTGATTCTGGGCACCAGATTCCTCATGCAAAGTTCAGTAAGTCTAGTGGTTTGTTCAGAACTGACTCCTGTTGCTGCGGGTGAGACCTGCATGCCCACACAAGGTTAGACTTGGCTACACATTTCTTGGGTGGTAGAAAAGAGGCTGACAAATGGCATAAGCAGTTATCTTCACTGTAGAGACCAAGGTAAAGATGCAGAGAAAGCTTTCTCATTCTTGTCTGGGGTGCCAGCTGAGACCTGGCTTCTTACTGTCTTCCCTATAGGCTATACTTTCGAAGTCAAGTCAAAGGGGAGACGGAGCGAGAACGGCTGCTACTTGCCTTCCAAACCAGTGGAGAAATTGTGGCAGGAAGATTTCCTGTCACCAAGGAGCTGGCTCTTGAAATGGCTGCCTTGATGGCCCAGGTAAGTTTCTTTCTGTTAGAAAAACCTGAGACCTTCCAGAAGACTGCAGATCCTTTGGCACCTGGAGAGGGCTCTGCACTAGAGAGAAGGGACTCCTTGCTCACCCCTCACAGGCTGTGTGCAGAATGGGACTGGGAACTGAAAAACTGGCTTTAAATCCCAGTCTTCTTCCAGTGTGAGAGCCTGGCCAAGTTACTTCTTAGTGCTTCAGTGTTTTATGTGTATGTGGAAAACACGACTCCCTCCCTGCCTCCAGGGTGTGTAAAGGAGCACTGTATGTGGCACAATGCATGTGGTAAACTTTATGAACCACCCCACATTCTAAGTAGAAGACTAGAAAGAGCATACATTCAGAACGATTCTCCTGTGTGTTTTCTTTAGGCGACTATCTGCATGGGGTGTTCAGGATACCTCCTTGGTTCCTGTAAGAGTGGATTTATCCAGATGTGGTGGCACACACATATAGTCCCAGCATTTGGAGAGCTGAGGCAGAGTTAGCATAAATTCAAGTCCAGTCTGAGTTCCAAGCCAGCCTGGGCTACATGGTAGCTTTTTTTTTTTTTAAAAAAAAAAGATTTATTTATTTATTATGTATACAACATTCCGTCCATGTATGCTTGCATGCCAGAGGAGGGCACCAGATCTCAGTATAGATGGTTATGAGCCACCATGTGGTTGGTGGGAATTGAACTCAGGACCTCTGGAAGAGCAGTCAGTGCTCTTAACCTCTGAGCGATTTCTCCAGCCCTACATGGTGGCCTTTTGTAATTATATTCATCAATATAAGGACTCTGTAGCAAGCCACGTGCTAATATTCAGATGGATTTGCCTCTGTACTTTTCATCCCCCGTTAGGAGAAGGAAGTTGACACTCAGTTTAAATAACTTGAACAAAGACACAAAACTGCTAAGTGGCAGAGCTGATGCTTGGGCTAGCTGTCTGACATCAAGCCCTCTCCTGTCCTCTATAGTCTGACACCTTCTACCTTCTAGCATTTAGCTAAAAGTGAGAGTTGATCTAGACAACTTATTAGGACCCTAAGGATGTTTCTCTAATGTCTATGAGGCGTAGATAAATTGTCATTGTCATGTGATAAGCAGTAATGGGTAAGGGCTATTTACCTCTCTAACAGCAGCCCCATCACCTCCAAACTCGTGACTGTTAACTCTCTCTACCTCAGGTGGAATACGGGGACTTGGAGAAGCCTATCCTGCCAGGTCCTGGAGGTACACCTCCTGCCAAAGCTCAGCATCTCCTCCAGCAGGTCCTCGACAGGTTCTACCCAAAGCGCTATCGAATTGGAGCCCCCACTGAGCAGCTGAGGTAGGCTAGAGGCAAGGTCTTACAGAGCAAGCCTGTGGGGGAACCTCAGGGCTGTGATGGAAACAGGCAGGTACTTCATTGGCACCATTTCTTTCTGTCCACTCAAACCAGGCACCTGGCAGATACGATGGCCACCAAGTGGGCAGCATTACAAGGCTGCTCCCCTTCTGAATGCATCCGCATCTACCTGACTGTGGCTCGGAAATGGCCTCTCTTTGGTGCTAAGCTCTTTGCTGCTCAGGTGAGTGATAGCAAAAGGAATTACCCAAACCCTCAGAATGCTGTCTCTCCTGGGCCTCCCCTCCCTTCTCTGCTCATATGTCCATCAGTCTAGTCTGCAGCCCCCACCTCACTATTAAACCCTAGGAGTTGCCATCTCCCCCACTCTGGCTGCTCCAGAGTTCCATGGTCTACCGTGGAGTTATAATTCATTGTTTATCTTCATGCTTCCTTTATTGACTTGCCCGTGCCTCTGCTGCAAAGACAAGCTCAACTAATTCACACGAGGGCTCAGACCTAAAAGTCTGAAAGACAAAGCAGTGTATAACCTAAACAAACTCATCTCTACTGGCCACCCAAAAGCCCAGAAGTAAGAGAGATGGACCACCCAGGGGAATCAGATTACTCAGACAAGTAACCCTCACCTCTACACGAAGGCCAGGAGGCAAACAGTAATTTCAGTTGGACATTTTCCTCAGTAGGTGTCTGGTATGCATGAACTTTGCAGATAATCACAGACATTACCCTGTGACCAGACATTATAATCAGACATTGAGACTGGATCTAGGTTCTGATCACTGCAGCTACAGATCAGAAAATGGACATCCACTCATCTACACAGCATATACAGATAGATTGTTGAATACATACTATTTCTAGTTCTAGCTGTTTAAAGTTACAAAAATGAACAAGGGCTGGGGAGATGACTCAGAAGTTAAAAAACACTGGCTGCTTTTCCATAGGACCTGGGTTTGATTCGAAGCCTCCATACGGTGGCTCACAACTGTCTGTAATTTCAGTCTCAGGGATCTGACATCCTTTTCTGGCCTCCTTGGATACAGGCACACATGTGGTACACAGACATACATGTAGGCAAAACAACCATACATATTAAATATAAATTTTAAAAAGTGTTTTAAAGAAATGAACAAGGGGCTGGAGAGATGGCTCAGTGGTTAATAGCATTGCCTGCTCTTCCAAAGGTCCTGAGTTCAATTCCCAGCAACCACATGGTGGCTCACAACCATCTGTAATGAGGTCTTGTGCCCTCTTCTGGCCTGCAGACATATACACAGACAGAATATTGTATACATAATAAATAAAATTTTAAAAAAATTTTAAAAAAAAGAAATGAATGGACCAGTCTCTTGCCTTTAGGAGGCTTTCCAGGTAGTGGGAACAGAACCCTCGGGGAGTTGTACATTGTTCTTCATACTCACCTTTCAATCTTTCTAAGAAACATTAATCTCCTGTTTAATTTTGGGGATATGCTAGGGACCAAACCAAGACCTTGCACAATGCTAAGAATACTCCTGCTCCCCCCCCAAACTATACCTCCAGCCTTTGTGTATGTCTGTATATGCACACAAATGGTCACAAGGGCCATGCAGTAAAAGTACAGTGGTATTATAAATAGAATGCCACTGGCCTGGAAGGTTGGAAAAAGTTTCAAAGAAAGGATATCCGTCTTCTCCTCCCCCTAGGGTTTTAGGTAGAGAGAGACCTGGAACACTTCACTGTAGCCCTGAAAGAAACACCCAGGAAATGGCTACCAAACAGTCACAAACTCACTGAAAGGACCTAAAGCCCATCCCACTGCACTCTTGTATTCCTATTTCTTTTATAGTCCCAAGGAAATTGGCTAAAGCAAGATGTATTTTGCTTGTGAGAGATTGGGGAGCAGGAGAAACTATCTACCAACCGAGCTACACACCAGCCCCTAGGTTGGCCTGTGTTCTACTACCTGGAGCTCCCACCCAGTGTGCTGGCAGGTGTGACTCCCTCCACCTTCCAGGTGTTGGGTGGCAGAACCCCAGGGCCAAATGCCTCCTACCACAGCATTCCTGTGCTGTATAAATGCTATTCTCTGCTTTCCACGACGATGTGATTGCCCATCCCTCTCCAGACATACCTTCTTTCCTAGAAAATACTTGGGTTCAGAATTTAACTGTGGGTCTGATAGGCTTCTTCTGTTTCTGCAGCCTGCCCACCTGTCCTCTAAGGAGAACACTCTGGTGTGGATTGCTGTGAATGAGGATGGTGTCAGCATCCTGGACCACCACACTATGGTATGAGAGGGAAAGGCTGGTTCTAACCCTTCTTAAACACTGTCTTATCTTCCCTGCTCTGGACTTAGAGGCCTGAACTGGCCATGGTCCTCATCTTTCTAACCTCTGCCCTAGAAATGCTGTCCTATAGTCTAGATACAACTTACAGATATCAGGATTTAACTTTTCAAATTATCACCACCTTGAGGTTCTCCCTTCCTGGTAAAGGATCTCTTATGTCTAGAAGAAATAGGTACGGAGTTTTCCCTGAACTCAACTGGCTCCTTTCCACAGCAAGTGAACATCACTTATCCCTACTCTTCAGTGACAACGTTTGGTGGCTGCAGAGATGACTTCATGCTTGTGATTAGATCCATTCCAGACAAGAGCTCTGGAAAAAGCCATATTGACAAGTTGATCTTCCAAATGCCTGCTCCCAAGGTGGGTCTGACAGCTACCACAACAATTTACTCTGGCCTGGTGTAATATAGTAAGCTTGGTGCTTAGAGAAAACTTTGGGCAGGTTCTGCCCAAATACAATTGTTGGCCTTGGTGTGTGGTCAGCATCCCAAAGGGTTCAGGTGAGGTAGCATGTCCATCTCGCTACTGAGCTGGTACTTGGTAGGCCTATCTGACTCAGTTGTTGCTGTTCCTCCCTTCTTCAGGAGGGGACTGTGCACCTCAGAGACTCTCAGGTCAACAAAGGTACATTTCACTGGCCTCTAAACATCACACTAGTCCCTTTCGGGCTTTTCTCCTGAATGAGCAGTTTAAAAGAGAAAGCAGCAAAAGTTCAGGAAGGCTATGTGTACCCAATGTTATAGCAGGTGAGAAACTCATGTGAGAAACTCAGCATAAGACAAGGCTAGTTCAATTTCTTCACTTCTCTGACCTCAGATCACAGAAACTACCTTCATGATCGCCAGCTACATGAACCACTGTTCTGCAACTGTGAACCTGTCCACCAAGCTGCCTGCAGCTCGCCAGCCCCGAGACCTGGATGGACAGCTCTTTGCTTCTGTTTCCTGCACTAAGGGGCCAGCTTTGCTGTGAACGTTCCTCCTCCCCACACCCCTGCCACCACTGGTGCCTCTGGGATTAGAGTGTGTCCTGGAGCATGCTACTACTGTGATGGGCCTGACGGCCCCTTCCGAACCTGTTCTGTGAAATGTGTACTTCAGGGTCTCTGAAACCTTTGTACTCTTTAAGTGCCTTATCTTTCAAGGCCCAGCATTTTAAAATCCAGACCCAACATCAAAACTACTTACTATTTCTTTTACAAGAATACTGACTCTGGATGCTACCTGATTCTAGATTGAGACAGGGATGGCCCATAGTTACCAGGGCAGTGGTACTGTATTTGGGCTTCTGCACTGATACTCAGGGAAGCTCATCTTTTTATACTGTACACGCTCCTTATGTGGGGGCTTATACTTGAAGTTTTCTGAACATCCCTGAACAAAATAGGACTAAAATTCCTAATTCACCTAAGTTCTGGCAAATGCCTACAAATCTCTAAAACTGGACAACTTTCCCAGATGGAAAGACTAACAGACTGGAGAAAAATGACACGCCTCCCCCTACTGGTGAGGAGGCATTTGCTATGCTCCTACTGGGGCTGCAGCTCTATCTTTTCAGGAGAGCACACTATTCCTGTTAAGATGCAAGCTTTTTCTCTCACACTGGACTAGCACAGGCAGGGGCAGATCCAGTCTGCACCCTCCCTGTGTCATTTTAAGGCCCACCGGGGCTTAGTGAAGGCTGTGCTCACTACTGAAGGACGAGGTAGTCATTGTCTCTCCACCCTCTGAAAGACCAAGCATGTGAGTTTTGCTTGTTGCTGCTGTATGAGGCCAGGAGACAACACATCAGAAACACTAAAGACACCCCCCCTCACGCCCCATTCCCAGAAGGCCTGGATTGCTCACCAACACTTCTGGTAGCTATCTTCTGAGAATTAATTGGAAGCACGGGAGATATATATTTTTTCCCTAGTAGTATATGGAAGTACAAAGTTTCTTTTCAACTTTTGCCTTCCTGAGGCAAAAGTTACTCCCTTTCAACCTAGACTTTCTGATTTTGATAAAGATGATCTTAATCTCCACCTTCCTCTGAAAAAAATAGTAAAACCCAAAAGTTCATACTTTGATTTTCCAACATATAAAAAAATCTAAGTTTATTGTATAGCTCTAAGGTAGTTCTATCATCTTTCAGTAACACGGTCAAGGGAATAGGAGGAATACACTTTTAACTCAACAATGTGTATACTGCACACTACAAATTAGTTTGTCAGATTGGCTCAGCTGCTGTAATCTTGCATTTCTCATCCTCTGGACTGACAAACATGACTTTACAAAGGCCTAAACAAGCTTGACAGGCAGGAGCCATTTCTGATCCAATGTCAACTCCTGCCCCAGGATTGGGTCCTGGGGTTCTAGTGGACACAGGTCTACCTCACGTCACATCACTCTTGAGTCCTGACAACTCCTTCCAGGCTAGTGTCAAAGGCAGAAAATGCAGTTCTAGTGGGCCACATTCCCAGGGACCCTTAAAGCCCAAAAGGACGTGGTCTACTCTCGGGTTGTTTTTGTTTTGTAATAGAGTTACACATAATGGAACTGTTTGTACTAGACTTGGAGGTCAGATTAGCTGCCTCCTTTTCTCTTTAAATTTTCTTCTTTCCTTTCCTTTTCCTTTTCCGTTTCCTTTCCTTCCTTCAAAAACAGGGCCTCACTAGGAAGTCCTGGCTGTCCTGAACTCACTATATAGACCAGACTGGTCAAAAATTCAGAAAACCACCTGCCTTCCAAGAGCTGAGATTAAGGGCCTGCACTGCCTAACCCAGCTCCCTTTCTCCTTCCTGATCTCTAGGAATCTCAGAAACTGCCTTAGAAACAAAGGCTTCTGTAAACTGACTTCTTAACTCTTGAACGTGACAGTCCCATGTCTGGGAACCAACATGAACTCTCTGACTTTTCATCTAAGCCCTCTTGGCCCCAGCAGCTTTTGAAGCAATAGAAAATACTGAGTAACAGAAAGGTACTAATGTGCTCGACACCCATGGCTGAAGTGCTGTGTACGCCTGTCAATAAAAAGCTGTCAGTGAACCAGCAATTCCTGTGTGTTTTGGATATTTATTTATTTTCGAGTTGAGACAGTGCCTCACCATGTAGCCCAGACTGGTCTCAAACTTTCAATCCTCCTGTTGACACCTCTTGGGTCCTGGGATTACTGGCATCCTTAACACTCCTAGCTAAACTGAGGATTAAGAGTCATCCTGCAGAGATCATAGGTGCTAGATGGACAGAGGCTAGCCCTTTTTAAGACATTTTATTCTTGCTAATTCATACATAAAAAAACTTATTCTTTCCCTAACTTTTAGACAAGAGTCCATGGAGATGGAAATTCTATTTTTCTTGTAGAATCTGGCACCAGTCTCAATACTACACAGATTTTAACACAAATATAAATGTGCTCAGAAACTTCACAGAGTGCTCTTCATGTGAATTACTTTTTTGGGGGGAGGGGGTCCTCACTATGTAGCCCTGCATGGCCTCAAACTTGAGACCACCTGCTTATGCCTTGAGTTCTGGGATTAAAGTATGTGCCACTATGTCTGGCCTACTTTTGATATGTCAAAATCCTTAAGGTTTCCCCGTGACTAGTAATGTAGATAAAACCTATAAGGGGAACTTTATATCTACAACACTGAGTCAAGTTCCAGCCACCACCTCTATAGCTCTGAGATCACTTATCCATTTTGATTCCCAGGACTGTGTCCACCTAGTGATTTTTACAGTACAGAAAATAAACCAGCCACTATGGTCTAGGAGTCCTCTCCCATAAAGACAACACTGGTATATGAATGCTGAGATTCATGGGCTTGTTGATGTGGCTTTCTGGTGTGCCAGAATCTCCTGGCAGCTCCTGTATACTTCAATCAAGCAGTCCAACCGAGGCTTGGCACTCTGAATTCCAAAGGGAAGAAACGCAGAGTCAAGGAGAATAGAAGAAGAATCCACTTGCAACCTCAATCTCTCACATACATCATGGCACAACTGTGAGCTAAGAGACACAGGTCAAGCCTCTGGGCACTTTTCTGGGAGCTCTCCAAATCTGGCCTTTACGGAAGATAAAAAGCTTGTTTGTTTGTTTTGAGACAGGATCTCTTGGTATTCTGGCTGTCCTGGAACTATGTAGACCAGGGTGGCCTCAAACTCAGAGATCTTACTTCCTCTGCCTCCCAAATGCTGGGATTACAGGCATCAAAATACAGTTTTTAGCCTGACAAAAGCATATGACAGTGAGACAGACCATCTCAAAAAGTGTCACAAATTGTAAAATGTACCTCAGAGACAAGATGGGCAGTTTAAAATGTACATTCTGAGAAGATTTTGTATTATAAAATGTAACACAACTAAAATTTAAAAGAAAAGCCACAAAATAGGAAAATTACATGTAGAAAGTCTATTTAATAAATGTTTACTATTCAAAAATAACACAAAATTATTACAAATATATAACTGATTTCTAGGTTCTATTCAGCTAGTAGAGAAAACTGACAGTTTAAAACAAGAGGATTACAGGCTTGTGCCACCAATGGTTTTTATTGTAAGATCAAAAGAAAAGATAATCTAGACATTATTTAAAGCCTAGCAATAAAATAGTTAAACAAATATTTCAATATAATAGAACATAATTATTTAAAGTAAGTATACTGGCTGTGGTAGAAAAGATGTAGATAGACAGACAGACAGACAGACAGACACTGGCTGTGGTAGAAAGGAGATAGATAGATAGATAGATAGATAGACAGACAGACAGAGAGAGAGAATATCTCAGCCTCACTGTATTAATGTAAACTTATACAATGGTAGATTGACAGACTGGAAGAATGTGATTTGTAAGCAGAAATGGTTATGATTGGTAATTGTCTTCTAAGATTTTTGTGATTAAAAAATATTAATATTTTTTAAAGTATATCTTCATCAGAGAGAGGCTGCTAAAATCTAAAATAAATCCTAACTTTTACTCACTCTGACAAGAGAAATTCATGTCAACTGAACAAAAGAGGCAAGGGTAAGCAGACAGAGAAAAGGTAGGTTTTTGCAGGAGGAAAGGAAGAACACTGCTCACCTGGAAGACAGGAACTACTTGGGATATCTCATGTGGCTTCCCTGGGTCCTTCAATAAAATGCAGAGGTAGTAAATCACCTTCTGCTGTAAGAAAAGACACCAGACAGAGGTCTCAGTGAAACTCATCTTGTTTCATTTTCCTTCAAGGGAAGAATAAGATCCTTTCCACAAATTACCTCTAAGTAGTGAAATATTTGACAACTTTTGAAGTAGAAGAAAAGTTATTTTTATCCTTCGTTTATTTATTTTTTCGAGACAAGGTCTCTCTGTACTTTTGTAGCCTGTCCTGGAACTCACTCTTGTAGACCAGGCTAGCCTTGAACTCACAGAGATCTGTCTGCCTCTGCCTCCCGAGTGCTGGGATTAAAGGCGTGCACCACCACTGCCTGGCTTTCATCCTTTATCTTTATTTGATATATAAAAAAAGTTTTTTTGCTTGTTTTTGCTGAGACAGGGTCTTACTATGTATCACTGGCTAGCCTGTTACTTGCTATGTACACCAGGCTAGCCTCACTCACAAAGATCCACCTGCCTCTGCCTCCCAGATGCTAGGATGAAAAGCGTGTGCAACCATGCATAGCAAATAAAGAAAATAATAATCACTGAATTGTAATGTACTCACAAATAGAAACATCAAAGCTAGATTAAGGTAACCAAACACTTTCCAAGTCTCAAATTCCGTACGATCAGAATGTCCACTCTGAAGCCACAGAGCTTTGCTTAGGGTTTTATACTTTATCAATTGCACTTTTATGCCACTTACCCACTACAAAACAGGGGAAAAATGACACAGAGTTGAAACTAGAATAAGGAGCTTTACATCTTCCTTCATGATTTCATGTGTCCCTTTGCCTACATTCTGTTTTTTAAAGGATTAACCCCCTTAAAAAAAAAAAAAGGGCAAGTATGTTAGTATAAACCAGAAGTCCTACTAATCAGGAGACCAAGGCAAGTGGTTCCTTGGAACTAGGTTAGATATCAGAAGCCAACCTGAGCAACATAGTGAGACCTCATTCTGAGAAAGGAAGCAAATGCTTTTGCATCTGAGCTACGAGATATAAGTCAAAATGCTGATTCTTTCTTTATCCATGACAGACTGCTACCTCTGTAGCATTTGCTATGCTTTTTAAGAGAGTGTACTCCTATTTATAAAAAAAGCAAAAGTTTGTTAGCCAGGCATGGTGACATACGTCTTTAATCCCAGCACTCAGGAGGCAGAATCTGTAGATCTCTTGAGTTTGAGGACAATCTGGTTTATGTAGTTAAGTTCTAGGACAGTCAGGGCTACACAATGAGACCCTGGCTCAAAAACAGACAAAAAGAGTAGGGGCAGGGGGCTAAAGAAATGGCTCAGCAGTTAAGAGAGCTTGCTGCTTTTCTACAGGATGGGGGTTCAGTTCCTAGTGTCCATGTCGGGTGGCTCATACCACCTCCAAGGGATCTGACCACCTCTTCTGACCTCAACAGGATACATACACAGACCCACACACATAAGTTAAAATAAAAATTTATAAAATTATGAACAAGCACAAAGAGATAGAGGCAGGAAGATGGGAAGTTCAAGGCCAGCATAAGCTATACAGTCAGACCCTGACTCAGGAAAAAAAAGTTTACTGTAAGGCAGTACAGGACTACATTTGGCAGCAACCACAAGCGTCTTGTTTATTACATCCTTCGATTCATCAATGGTATGTCTGAGTGAGTAAACTGCACCATTATGTAAGTATGTTCTGTACACCCAGCAAACTGGTAAACGATGCATTTCTTAGAACACACCCCATCACCGAGGAAGGCATGAACCATAAAGAAACTTATTTTAATGTAAGTTTCTCTTTCATGGTTCACAAGCATGCCAGTCAAAAAATAACTACTTGCATTGGAACGGAGGCTCCTTAAGTTTAATTCTGTGACAATGAATGCTTTATTAAAACTCCATTTAGCTCTCAGCATTCCCCATGAGCTGACTGCCTCCATGGAGAGTTCAGAGATACCCCGTAAACACTTACTTACCATGTAAATAGCTTCATTAATGATAACATCCTTGACCTTGTCCATCTCTATGAAGGTGGTACTTTCTTTGCCAGAAGCATAGGATGAAGTCATCTGGATGCCAAGTGAATCGATGATTAACAGAGTCTCCTGATCAATCTTCACAAAATGGAGGTAACCAAGCAGGCCTATGATGGTGATGAAGATGGCAGCAGAGAGGATCATGCTATTCTGAAGAGAGAGCCAGGCACAGGCAGTAAGATTACCAAATGCCCCTCTGTGGATGTGTGATACACAGCGAGGTAAACCGACCATGAGGGAGAAGGCCTTTGCTCTGGTCACTACACTGTGAGGTGAAGGGATGACAGCACGCAGAGTGGAAGGGATCCAGACTATTAGTGAACAGGTCTGGGATGCTCCCAGCAAAACATCCGCCATCATCACATCTATCTCAGAAATTTTCTTCCTAAAATAACAACTTAAGGACCCAGTGCTTTCCCTTTCCTATTCCCCCTGAAAAATAGCACAAAATTACAGACACAACTGTGAAGCGCTCTGTACAGCAGCTAATACGACTCCCTGAATGATAGTCACTGATATTTTTCCTAATAGAATTTGGAATAAATTTTGATTGGTTTAGAAGCAGATACATGTCACAAACCCAGCCAATGAGATGTGGTAGTCAGAGGTCTACAAAAGAGGCCAATTTATTATACTATATTTTTAAAAAAATATGGGTAGAAAGAATGGAGAAAGGAAAGTGGGGTAAGGGAGGGAAACAGTACCAGGGCATTAAGATTAAAGCATCCAGGGATAGCCTATAATGCAAGACTTAGTTGGTGCAGAGATTTATTAGAAGTCAGTGGTTTCTGATGGGTACACTCTCCAACAAAGACAGCCGGGCTGAGGACTAAGAGTATACTTGAGGGTGTTCGTATGAGAGGAGCCAGGGTCAAATAAGGCTCACTCAAACTCTGAAATCTTTGGACC